GAAATGTGACTCAGGTGGAGCAAAGCCCAGATGCTCCCATCAGTTTCCTCACAATAACCACTGACACTGTGGTTTCAATCACCAGTGGACACTCAGCGTGAAAATCCCATGCACATAAAATATTCACAAGCACTTCTGTTGCACAATGGAAGAGCCAGCAGATTCCTGGAAATCAGTTTAAAGTGGCAATTTTAAGGGCTACCACATGGGCTTAAGCACCAGTATTTGCCTAATGTAACACAGTCTTGCAAGTTGTAGAGTTCTTGCAAAACTCAGTGTGTGGGTGCAGTAATACTGAGGCAGTATTACGGTGGTAAGGTGTTACAAGAAGACATTACCCAAGGAACAATTTCTCAGAGCCTACCCCAGATGGACTTTGGGTTACCCATCCACCCCCCAGCTGGAAATTCAGAACCCTTTCCATGGGTGGTACCAGAAGATCCCTCTTTCTCTCCCCTGGAGCAGTGTCTCTGTTCAGATTATAGTCACACTTCTCAACCAAGCAACACTCAGAGTGCTTCTGAAGCCAGTAGTAAATCAGCATCAGGTGCCTGAAATAAACAAAGAACATGCAGCCCAAGGAATTGTTTCAAGAACTGCTTTGGGAAAGCATTGTTTATCTGGAGAGGAATGCCATGCTCCAGGCAGAGAGTATCTGCTGTGTTTGTCATTCTTACGCTTTTTCCCTCTTGGAAGACCTTCCCTGCAGCAAACCCAATATAATTGTTCTCAAGGCTGAAGTCCAGTAACGCCTGTTTTATAACCTTAGACACATTCTAAGTTTGTGTATTTACTGCTGCCTTTCAAACTGATTCCAGAAAATGTATCTATAAAAATCAGTCAAAGCTCTTTAGACTTTAGGGTCTGTAGTCCACACTTCCAGCTAAGCCCCTGCAGCTGCACATACACCAATTCAGTTGCTCTTCTGTTTGCTGAATACCTAATACAACAACACAAACCTGGGCTCCTACTTACAGTTTAAACCTACAGCAGCAAATGCAGACAACCAGATTTTAGGCATAACATCAAGGGTTTAGGTATCCAAAAGCAGAGTGCTTTTCTTTAAACTGTTCTGATAAAACAAGTGTTCACTTTCCTTACACATGTTCTTAGCCTTGACTATTTCATTACTCTTCATTTCACCACAGTGTAATTAAAAAAGCCCCAAGGAATAAGGAAATTAGTGTTTCTCTAGTGTTCTTTCACAATAAATAAAGTCAATTAGGGTGAATTAAAGATCAAGCAAAGCCAAGACATTATAATCATTCTTCTCAGTAAACACTTGGCCAAATTATGATTCTTATCTGACAGAATACTTCACTAGAAGCTCTCTCTATTCCACCTACTACTTCAGCTGACACCAGTTTCACTTTTATCTTTGAAGAGACTGCTCTACTACAAAATTCACACATGGCTACTTCCAGGCAGTAAATGAAACAGCACAAAGAGATCAGTCCTTTGAGAAGTATTTTCTGAAAGCTTGCAAAGTCAGAGTTTTGCTTTGCTGTCTTAAAAGAAATAACTTAATGAAGGAATCAACTGTCTGCCATTTTTCTGTGCAAGTAAATTCAGTTCCTGGACACCTTTTTACCCACCCCATAGACAACCTTTTAGCAGGCTTTGTAGCAAATACATCACAGCTCAAGAAAGCTTTCTGGCCTACACCATCAACCCCAATGGTGTTGACAAATGGCCCGGTTTTGGATATAACAACACTACAGAGGCATTAGGCTTGTCCATCACATTCAACCTGCAACTGATTTTTATATTCCACATTATTTATTTTCTACAGAGAGGTACACTAACACTTCAGGAAAGTCTAGTTGACTGCAGTCTACTACACTACTGATCTCCTTACTTTGCTTCAGCTCAAAGTAGCTTCTAGTCCAAGTAATTACTTTAATCTATTGCATTATCAGATTATTCTAATTCTATTCAGTTTAAATAAATACATAAAGTTTAAATAAACAGCTATATACACATTCATTTTCTTGTACATAACAGTTCAGATCTCAGTAGAAATCAAACAGCTGATCTACAAAATTATTCTAGTTTGTGCTGTAAACTGCTACTTGCTTTCATACAATAATCTATATTGAGCTTCACATATTAAACACTTCACACTTTCATCTAGGTTCTTTTTCTAACAAAATTCAGCTAATGACTATATCCAGTTTGGCTTACTTGGTATCAAATGATCTAACAATACATACTGTGTTACTTAAATTTTTATAGACTTTCTATATTTCATCTTCCTGACATGCAACTACTTGGATCTATGTGTTAGACAGGAATTGCTGTAACTAATGAAGTCACTTTTACCATCAGATTATGACCCTTTTTTCATGTTAATATTTCCATGAGAGAATCTTCTTTATCTGTTCCTCAAGTATTAACTTTGACTAACAATTAATTGCTTTGATGCAATCACAGAACCTCCTGTGAACTGCCACACCTTCCTCAATGCAACAGGTTCTTACTCTTCTGATTTCTTAAGACTGGTGAAGTGCCACCAGCCCTTTCCTTCCCCATCCTTTTTCACCACCTTAAACTCGGAAATCAGCTACACCAGGATACAGCTTAGCATCACGTGTTGCTTAAACACCGCTCTCTAAAGGATGAAGTCTTTGTAATAAAGATTGCTCTGAGTATTGGGGGTAAGATACAAAGCCTCTCTGAAGACACTGTTATATTCAAGTAGTACCAATTCTTTAGGAGTTAATTCATGTTGCTGCATAACAACATCATAATCCTTAGCAGCAAGAATTGCAAGGGTCTGTAGGAAGAAGGTTCAGCAACATTAACACTTTGTCCTGAACAACCTGCCTGTGAACTCGACACACAGCTCACTACACACTGATCCCTTAGTTTACCCTGGGTAACACTATGCCCATAATAATTAAAAGATATTCACAAGCCTCTCTTCATCCCCTAGGAAAGCAGCTTCTCCACAGAGAGAGGATAATCAGGAGATCCTCTCCGGCTTTCTGTGGCTCTAATACAGAATCAATTTTAAGCCTACAAGCTACTGTGTCAACATTTAGTTAAACTTCATCAATTAGCCCTTTTAACAAAGGCCAAATCATTGAAAGCTTGAGTAAGTTATACTACACAAGTTTTGATGAGCTCAGCATCAGTGCATATTCCAACTCTAAGGAACTCTTACTTTTGAGCACACCCAGCAGTTACCCTGGTACAACTCTGTTCTAGGAATTTGTAGCACCTGACTGCTTCCAAAGCAGTACAAGCTGAACACGTCATGTATACACAATTATTCTGAAGATTAAGTAAGTTTTCAATTCAAGTCTCACCAGCAAAGTGAACTTAGCAGTCAACAAAAGTCAACAGCATAACAAAGGACAGGCAAATTTCAAGGAAGAGTTATTTTCCAGCTCAATTGTCTTACCAACTTTTTCAGCATGCCAATAATCCTCTTCAGGCTTCAACACACATTGTGTAACTACGATTCCAGCTTTCACCGCAACACTCAATTAAAATATTACATTTAAGCCAGGAACGCCACTGAGAAATAACATCTCTCTACTCTTACAGTGGCTAAGATTTCCCTCAAGAGGGTACTCAGACAAATACATAGTTACTTGTCTTTTGAGGAATTTTCCTATCTCAATAACTAAAACATGAAAAAGTAGAAAGTGTATTACAATCCTTAAACACATCAATATGCAAATTCATTGCTCAGTCTTCCAAGGCATTTTTATTTGGAAGCAAGAAGAATTGGATGAGACCCCCAGACTTTCAGCCAGTACCATGTACCCTCCATCCTCCCCTGGCTGGTGAGAAATAATGTCTGGATAAGATCTTTAGCAGTTTGGTCATTGAACTACCAACAAGAAAGTCATGTTTCCAAAGGCCACAGTCCGCTGACTATTAGAAAAAAAATTCTGTCATCACAGACCTAAAGTACTACAAAGGGTGTTTTTTTTTTCCATCAAATAAAGCCATTTACTTGCAGAAGAAATGGAACATGAGAAGAGTGCACCTGAGTCTGCTAAAAGTGTCTACAGCTTTGCTACTATTTCAGTCACTACAGGAAAGATGCAACAGGTGTAAAGAAAAAAAATTTTGTTTAAGGTATTTTGGCTACAGCTTTGCTAGGAAAAATTAACGTAGCAGTTCAAAAGAGGCAGCAGAGCTGAATCAGGATTCAACAGACTACAAGAAAACATCATCCAGCTTTGCATTATCCTAATATTACCAAAAAGAGGCATGCACTGTCTCTAGGTCAGCTATTTTTACTAGGTTCTTCCAGCAACCTTCTTGGCCTCACAAATAAAAATCAGCTCCAGATTAGCTGGAACAAGACTCAGGCATTCATGACTTGCCCACCCCAAACTAGTGTAGGCAACAGAACTTTCTCCTCCACCATTTCAAAACCTGGGTATTCTCCTCAAACATGAGCTCAACCAAGATCCTCATATCCTAGCTACACTGAAGTCTCAATTTTCACATGCAGCATCTTCGGTGTGTTTCAACCATATCCCAGATGTTCATACAGAAACTTAGGACTGAGATAAAGCTCCCTTTAAGTTTTTTTGTTTCTACACATACAAATAGGCTGGGCTCTAAGTACAGCAAAAAGGTTGTACCTCTGGTGAAGAAGAAGCTAAGCTTTCCCTTACACCCCCACAGCAAATTTTTAATCTGACTCCAGATCAAGTTACCTAGAGTAAAAACACTAATCCATTATGATCCTGTAGCAAGTCCTACTAGGGGAGAGCAATGTCAGTAACTTGTAATAGTAGAGATGTTAAGTTCCCCAAGCCTGTGTTTCCACAGAGAAAGAAGCCAACTTTCAAGTCACAGGCATTTTCACAGAAGTTTGTTTCTCCTGCTCTTTACAGATGCAATGACTGGCTGCAGAAATTATACAGCAATCCATTTAAAATAAATCCCTGAAAAATAACTAAGCTGGTATTTTTCTGGAAATAGTGATTTCTTCCTGGATTCACACCAAACAAAAACTCAATATGGAAGGCAACTTCAGAACAACCCATTTGTCCCAGTGAGCAGCACAAGCATCGAATTCCCCTCAATGAGAATTAAATGCTTTCAAAGTGTTCACATCTGACTGCATGTGCATGACAGCTCAGTCCTCCCAAAGCAGGCAAGTTCAGCTTGTGACCGTAGGCCACAAACTGCCTGTCAGGAGATTCCAGGCTGTTCCTTGCTCTCTTTTTGAAAAGGCTGAGAGCAAAGCATGGGCTGAATGGATTTTCCTCAAACGAGGAACAGCTCCTCTATTCACTGCTTGCCCAGTCTGCCTCTGGACTACCCCCATGCACTAACACACTAGTTCCTGCCCACAGCTCAAGAGAGAACAGGAGGCTGTCTGAAACCTAAGCCTTAAAATGCTCTTATAAGATAGCAAGCCAACACACACATAGGGAATCCACATCTGAGAAAAGGGGAGCAGTAAAAGAAAGTCAAAAAAGTAATACAAATCCACCCTAGCAGAAAGGGGGCCGCATAATAATAAGTTATATGGAATTACATAAAGGTATTATAACCACAGCATTTTTTAAAAATTCTAGCAGAAAAACAAATCCAAGAGCCAGTGAAATAACTTTGACCTAGAGAATTTGACAGTCCTCCCTTGGTGTCATGTGAACTGACTCCTTACTACTACAGACAGCAAGAACCAGAAGAAGTATTTCATAGCTCTAAAATTATTCATTTCTAAGAAACTTTTGTTAGACCCTTATGCACGAGCACACTCTGACAGTATTCACATCAGCTGAAGGTTTCTGTGAACAGGGGAAGACTGAGAGACCACATACAGACCTTGGTCTTCACACGTGCTGCAGTCCTCATTAGAGCAGCCTCTAGTATTTTACAAAAACAAAACTTCTCCATCACATCTACAAATGTGAATCAGATGACCATGAAAGACTTCCCATTTTATCACCATCCCACTTACAACAGAAACAGGTAAGAGGCTGAAGACCACCTTCTTTCGCTGTGCTCCAGGGCCCGCAGCAGCGAATGGCTTCAGCCATTTACATCACCCGCGAGCGGCACCTGCCTCACCCTCCTCCCGCCGCTCCTTCCCGCCCGCCGGAGCCCCGCTGCTCCCGCAGAGCCCACGCGGGGCCTCCCCGGGCGCCGCCGGCCCGCGCCCGTGCCCGTGCCCGCCGGGAGCAGAGCGCTGCCAGAGCCCAGCCCCGGCCCGCAGCCCCGCGCTCCGGGAGACCGCCCGGCCCGGCCCCCGGCGCGGCCCGCGGGGACCCCCGCCCGCACCCACCGCTTCTTCGGGATGGAGCCGGAGGCCGGCCCGGCGGAGCCGTCCTGCGCCTTGCAGGGGCTCGGGGAGAGCGCTCCCCGCCCCGGCGCCCGCGGCGAGCCCCGCAGGTGCCCGGAGATGATGCGCAGCCGCCGCCGGGCGGAGGACGGGGAGCCGCCGCCGCCTCCCGCTGCCTCCCCGGCCGCGGCCGCCATCGCTTCCGTGTTGTGCCGCGACCGCCGCCGGGTGAGAGGGCGCGCGGGCGGAAGGCGCCGCCCGGCGCTCCCCGCGCGGGCCCCGCCGCACCGCCCGCCCCCCCGGCCGCGATGAGCCCCGCGCCGCTCGCTGCCCGGGCACGGCACGGCACGGCCCGCGCGCCCTGCCGGAGCTCCTGCCGCGGCAGCGCTGGGCTCGGGGGGCAAACCGGAGACAGAGAGAGAGAAAGCGTTTATTAAAGATTTCCCGCCTCCGGTGCTGTAATTACAGCCCCTCTGGATCGCTGAACAAACTTGAGAGAACACAAAGGTGTCCTTTAGAGATGAGAATTGCCCAAGTTAATGATGAAATGCTAATTAATGACAATAGCATAGGCGGGTTACTTAAGAAATAGGTCGGTGAGGTGGCAGATAATCTACAGGTGTTGCAGATTTTATCACGGCTGTTGATAGGGCCACAAGGCCCCGGTGAGTGCAGGCTGCCGAGCCGGGTCTCTCTCTGCCTGTGCCGCCCCGCTGTCCTGGCACGGACGGTCCTGGTCCCAGGGGTCTGCTCCCCGCTCAGCCCGCGCCACGAAATGAGTGCTGAGCCTGACCGACTGCTGGCAATGCATCCCCTTCTCTAGCGGGGTTACCCAGCGTTGGGCCAATCCTGGCAAAAACTGACAATCCTGATCATATTTGGGACCTCTGGGAACATCTGGGATTCACTTTGTAGCATCACTTTGAAGACTGAGAGGAATTGGGATTTAAGGGAGATACAGATTTGATGCCGACCCCAGGTGCTTTTTGCTATGAATTTACCTCAATGCACCAGAATGCTTTGCATTTCCACTCAGGAAAGGATGTGAAAACTGGAAACATGTTCAAGTAGAACAGATGAGATGATTTTTTCCATCAGGGAATGCAAAAACACTTAACAAACCGAGGCCCATACAAAAGACTAAGGAAGATAGGTTATCAGTCTTCAAATATGTAAAAGACTGCTACAGAGTGAAAGGAAGCAATCAATCTGCCCTTCATGTCCCAGCTAGGTTGGTGAGAAGTAATGAGCTCAAACTGCAAGATATAAGTTCAGTATTAGCATTAGAGTACTTTCTAATGGCAGTGAAAATGAAAAACTGTTGTAGTCTGCCTAAGCAGAGAACGAAGTCACCTTCATTAGACAGCGTTAAGAACGGACAACGTACATCTATCAGACATACCATTATAAGCAGTATTGCTCAGGGCAAGGTGATGGGCTAGATGACCTGCTCAGATTAATTCCAGCTTTTCCTCTGTGTCATGAAGTATCTCACACTGTTGAAACCTACTCAGTTGTCACACAGGACCTACTTTCATGATCAGCTTTTGCCACTAACTGGCACTGACCAGCTCTTTGCAAGTCCTGTAGTGGATTGCTGGGATCTATGTGACTGATACTAATCAACTATCAATGTTGATTTATTTGTTCATTTCTTCCTCAGACGTCTATTACCTATGTAAAATAAAATCCCATGAAAATTGATAAAGCTCTTACCCTCTTTCAAACCTCTTCTAGGGACCTCATGATACTTCAACATGGTACCTTTCCATTAAGTAAGCAATTGGCAGCAAGTTCTCCAGGGAGCAGGCTGCACTGCACAAGCAGTGAGACGTGGGCTCAGTTCCTTACCTCACATGCAATATTGGTGCTTCTTTGACTCAGCTCCCCACATATAAACCAGGGGTAACAGTATCTCCCTAAAGAGACTGGTCTGAAGATAAACACACTGTGGACTGTGTGACAACATAGAACCAACCCCAGTAATGCCTACTGATGAGAAGCAGTTCACAAAAGCCACCCAGGTGTTATTACTGGTTGTTTTGCTTTTATTCTCACCATTGTTAATTGATTTTATGCCCTTTGTGTACTTTGTCTAGGAAATAGCTTGCAATTTTCCTGGGGCAGTGATTGCACTAGTTGCAATGGGATCTCAGCCTTAAGTTAGGTTTCTGGTATTAGTGCAACATAAACAGCTGTTGTGGCAGTTCAATAGTTTGGTTATGGAGTTAAATTTCCCCCCAGTGAATAATTTGTATACAGGTTTCTGGATTAACTCATGCATACCCACATTTAGCTGTCTGCTGCTGTGGAGGCAGTCTGTAGGGAACAAACACAGATCTTGACTGAACTTCCACTCCCATTGTTTACTGAAGTTCTGGGTATAGCTGGAGGGACTTTCAGTCACAGTTACCTAAAACTTTCCACACTGCTGAATGCTGCCAAACGGATACTAAATCCCCTGTAGTAGGTTTCACATTTTCCTAGAATGTTTCCTTGTATCCCAGTCACTTGTAAGGAACAATAGTGAGCCCATTGGTCATTTATTTGATCCTAATTGTTGAGCTTCACAGTAAAAAATTGACCTCAACTAGAATCTGATAAATAATATTTGTCATCACCTCACAACTTATTTCTCAAAAAAGTTCCAAATTAGTTTTAAAGTATGTGTGTGAATGAAGATTTAACTGGGTATGCTAGAGACATAGGGGTATGATTTGGAAACTGTTGAGAGCCTTGTCTTTTGCAAAGCAGAGGAATAGCTAAGTCACGCCTCATTTTTGTGCAACAGGAGTCTTTTCTTACAGTAAGAATGCTAAGCTCCTACCCGTGCTCTGCATGCAATCTCTGCTTCCCTTGGAAGGATGGCAATCTTCGTAAAAAGCAGCAGTCACATAATGTGCTATCAGATTGTGAGGTCACTGCTTCTCATTTGCTGAAGTGAACCACTGGCATGTTTTCAAAAACTATATCTAATTTAACCATATAATTCATTCTGGTAAGTAGTAGTGCTGAGAAGAAAACTTAGGGAACAGGATTTTGAAAGTAATATGTTGTGACACGGAAGAAAACTTATATCAGTAAAAATACCAGCAGATCTATAGTGCAGTAGTTGGAAGTATTCTAATTGTTGAGCCAAAGCAGCAGCCTTTGCCATTCCATGAGCTGTCCTGCCCACAAAACCAAGTGCATCTGTAAGCATAAGTGAGATGCCAGCTCAGTGAGACGCCTCATGTCAACAAAGGCCTGCATTTCCAGAATTCTGCACATGGGCATTTTCAGGAAACACAATTTTAAAGCCAGTTTACAGTGTAATACAAAATAAAGTTGCTAAAGTACTGTAAGCTTTCAGAGTGGTCTTCAAAACAAGGTGTCTCAGAGTTCCATTACAGAGTGGTCCCATGGGAGACCACAGAGGGAGCATGTTCTCAGGACAAACACTGCACTCCTAGGCAACCTGCACACAGGCTGTGCAAAGAAAAGACTCTTCTGATAAATCTTCTTGCCTAGAGTGGAGTCTTGCAACAGGTTGTAGAGAATCACCGAATGTAGCATGAGAGCTCCTGAGATGCAGGTATCAGATGCAGAAAATTAATTGATAGCAAGTAGCAACTATACAAACACCTGAGAGAAAGTACAGTGTTCAACCTAACCTGTGGTAAGAATTTTGAAACATTTCAAAGAAGTTTTATAGAAGCATGAGAAAGTTCCCAGTCCTGGCAGGAAATGCAGTGCTGTAGTACATGTCTGTGCTATTCCTATACTGACTAAATAGCAGAAAAAGTTGTGGGATTCTTTTTGTTTATTTTTCCTTTTAAAATTACACAGCTTTGAGCTACAATTCTTAATTCACCTCACTGCTTCTGAAGGCAACAGAAGAACATTATCATAATACTAGGCTTTGAGAAAATAGATATAAAGAAGCTTTTGCTTTCTAGATAAATGAAAAAGTAGAAACTAATTTTTTCAAGACTCTTCATTTCATGGTTGGAAAGGCTGCTTGAAAGGTTTAAACAGAAGGAAATACCTATTGAATAAGGCGTGTTCCAGGTGTTCTTGCTCTCTCCAGTTCAGCCACTATTAAGATGTGATTGACACAAATGTATTAGAACACCTTTTTGTTCTGTACCCCTGTACAAAATGACACCGCCTACAGAAGAGGTGGGGTTTTGCCTGCTCTAGGTTTAGGATGGGTGTGGGACATCCACAGCTGAATCATGGACTCAGAAGAAGCTGTTGAGGCAATAAAAGGGGGAAAAAGGCATAAGCCTTTGAGATAACCTCTGGATTAGTCCTTTTTTCACCAGAGGGGGAAAAAACAACAAAACAAGCCTACACACACATTCATGAACATGTCATTCAACACCAAGTAATTCATGCTCTGGGAGGAGTTTGTTGATATGGAATGGCCCAAGAAGTTTCCTTAAAGTAGCCAATTTCTCCAACATCTACTTAGGCATTGTGTCACTTCTACAATGTCAGCAGAATCCCTGGGAAAAGGCACTGCATTCATCCCTCAGTCCATCCATGCACTACCAGCTCACAGCACTATGAGCTCAGCTTGGCAGCCTTGGTGCCACAGAAGAAAGGCCCAGGTCTCAGAGCTCAGAGGTACAAAGCAGCCTGCAGGGCCTCAAGCCATTGGCAAGGATCAGCCTGGATTTGAAAGATTACACAAGGATAGGAGTGA